CTTCCGCGTTCCGACCTACCATTCCGCCCCGGCGGTCAGTGCCTATTAAGGGCGTAATTGTGAGCATACGCTCGGCGCGGAGTGCTCGTTAACGGTTCTGCCGGTCATGATGTTAAAAAAGAATAACACCCAGGAGCGCCATAAAAACATATATGTAACATTCGCTCGGAATTACATATCGACGGAAAATAAAGCTAAGCTATAAAACGACTGGCCCGCTTCTAAACAAAGCTCTACATGCTTTTCACCGTCTCTGCAAAAGCCAGTTCTTTTGGTGGTCTTCCTAACATCGGGTCAAGAAAAACGTTACTGTTCTCCGGCTTCGACCAGAACGCTAAAATTAACTTAATTACATGCATAATAGTGAGCACATGGCTGGGTCTCAGTATCCCCAGACCACGAGGTCACTCCTTAAATCAGGGCTACTACTATTTGTTATATTACTATTGTTTTTTGTTCAGTAGATAAAAATCATCATCTCTATCGAAGATGGAGCAACCCTTTCCCTCAACCCCTAGCTTTTCATTATCAGAAAATGAATCTAGATGTTAATTAAATTCAATTTAGGGTATTACCGGGAAGTTAAAAGTTAATTTTTATCAGTTCCAGTTCAGGTCTCGAGACCCCTCCGGATTCTTTCCTCTTATTTCCTCTCCGGATGGTTTAATTCACGGTTCCACCACCCTTCACCGTTCATGTGAAAGGCTTTGTAACGATTATAGCGACACAATCGTTGCGGTCTCTGCTAATACTCTGTCGTTTTTTTCTATTTCTCGTCGTTGTTTCTATCGCAACTATTGTTGTTGCTGTTGTGTTTCTTTTTTGATCTTTCTCCAGAATGGCCGTTTCAACGTTTCTCGGAAGTGTGACGTCATCATTTGAAATTTTAAAAATTTAAAATACCTGAATAACCTGACCTTCACAGTTTAGTTTGTTTAATCGTTCAAAAAACGTCGCCAATCTACTAAAACTGCCAATTCTCAAGGTCAGCGGCCATCAATTTAAAATCTAATTTTTGTCCATTCTGGTCGAATGTCACATTGTTGCCTAGCATGTCCTGAGTTGAATTTGTATAAGACCAAATTCTTTTTCAGAGTATGAGAAGCTACGAGTTGAGGGAAAGGGATGATCCATCTCCGATGAATATGTGTGACAGTCGGTCATATTTGGAAGTTTGACCTTGAGCAACGTTTAGTCTTGATTTTGGGGTGAGGTGCAGTTTTTCTAAAATTCAAATTGAGCATGTCATGCTCAAGTTTCTCGCGCCAACTAAAACACAAGAAAAGTTATCAGAAGAACCGAACTACAATCGCGTGAAAATAGTCAAAAAAGAGCAACGGGAAATTGCTATTCGCAATTTCTAATACATAATTCGAACAAAAGTAGAGCTGTCTTATTCATGGCAGAAGACGGAAAGTGATTGCGAGTGGAGAAGGGAGAAATTAGAGTGACCAGAGTGAACCTTCGTTGGAAAGGTGGACAGCTGAAGCTGCCCAATGGTCCAGTTCCAAAACTTGTTTCTTGAGTCAAAATTTGTTTATTTCAAACTTCTTGAGTTAATCTTAATGACCCAATCAATTCTAGAGTTGCTTTATAATTTAGTTACTCGATTCTAGAGGTCGTGTCGGTATGTGAGTACCTAATTTAATTTTCTTGAATGTGTTTTACATTTTTATGTTGAGTTAGGGAGAGTTTTCAGGTTGATACATCTGAAATGGATCAAATGTCCACTGTCTAATAAAAAGTAAGTATAAATAAGGTTCCGACCTTGTTTTTAATGGCATTCGCGTATTTTGGGTATTTTGAGATCTGAGTATTGGGTGTTCTTATTTTATAGAGTGGGGGGGGGGGGGGTATTTTGGTAGTGGCATTTGAGCTGTAACGCGGGTTTTAGTCTCATGTCGCAAGTGAACCGAATTGACTCCGACCGCTTGAGGTAGAAAAACACAAGAGATAGTGTCACAGAATCTTGAGCCAATGGCTATTGAGCCTATTTTGTGACCTAAGTAGGCGACTGTTACATAGTGTTTTTTTCTGGTGCTCCTAGGTGTTTTTACGACATCAAGACTACGGGATTGAACCCACTTGACACAGCTCCGGGCTATATGCCCATTCTAGAGTACCGGTGGTACGGTTCAACGGGAACGTGTCCACCTTCTGGTTGTACCGCCTTAGGTTTTAAAGAAAATTTGAGAAACTTCCGGTTGCGCATTCCAAAACGAGGCCTAGCTAACCGAGTAAGGGGCCACTAGGGGGACAAAAAACTAGTAAAAGACGAAAAGCGAAACAAAAAACCAAAAAAGGTTAGAAATAGAAACAAAACGGGTAAACAATACAATAGAGAACAGTGGCCTTGATACCAGATTAGGTGGATCAAACCTTTATAAAAATTAAAATAGTATACCCATACTGTTTTACATTAGGAGCGATCGTCTCGATCAAATCAGCAAACTTGTGCCTAAATTTGTACAGAGGCGTTGTATGGGTTTTAGATAGTTTGCAACTTCAGCGGACCACTGGGAGACTTGACTGCAACAGGTGAACATCCAAGTGGGAAAGTGGTTCGCAGGAAAGGGACCTGAGAGACAGAGGACACGCCAAGGAGACATCTAGCAGCCAATCAGAGCAAACAGGGAAAGGTACACAGAGGTGTTCTGTTTGGTCAACCGGGTATCGTTAAAATCCAATTTACATTATAGCAAATAAGTGTAAAATTGGATAAGCGGATACCCACTGTTTTGAGGAAACGTTTTTACTTGAGCAGAGCTTGGAAACGGGTTCTACGGACTTTCTCTCGAGAGGCTTAGCACCTATTGCACTTATGGGTAATTTTCGGCCTAAGCGGGGGGATAGATATGGTGGAGGTTAGTAGGGGGCTGGTTAAGATAGAGGTTGGCGGTTCAAAGTTGTAAAAACGTGGGACACATTACAGTAACTATACAATCGATATCGTCGATTTAGTTACATTAGTAGACCAGAGTATAGAACGATCCATCTATAGACTCAGAACCAGAGTTGCAACGCGAGGAGATCCAAATTTAGGATCGAATTAAGGTAGGTAACCTGGTCTGATCGGATGGGGGGATCGGAAATAGACAGTTTGTGGAACCCAAAAGGATAATACCCCATAAGATCGCTAGTAGCGGGAGGGAAAACGCGTGACAGTCAGGTACCAGACATTTTTAACGAAAGACGGCATAGGTCGCCTTTGAATTTTAGATATACTTACCTTTCTGGTTTTTGTAATTTTCGTTTTTATTTGAATTTTTACAGTTTTTACATTTTTGGGCCAAATTTCAGAGAGCTTTTAACGAATGGGCTAAAGTTATAGACTAACAAACAAGGCGTGTTTCGACTTACATCGGATTGAAACAGGGGAGTTAGTTATAGGGGACTTAGTAAAAAAATTTTGGTGAACAGAATTGGGTTTTGGGGATTTTTTTTACCAGAGCTCCAGAGGTGGTACTGGGATAGTGGATCAGGTATCCCTATACTCGACAAAAGGTACCGGGAAATTCTTCAATCAGGCGAGGAAACACTTGAGCTACAAGGTTGGAGGAAGTACAAGAGTAGTGCAGAAAAGTGCTGGGATGGGAGCGAAATGTCCCAACACTTGAAGCAATGGTCCTTGGAGAGTGCCGAAAAGTCCTGGGATAGCAATGGAGTGTCCCAACACTTGAACGAAGGGTCCTAGGAGAGTGCCAAAAAGTTCTGGGACAGCAAAAAAGTGTGCCAACACTCGAGCGAAGGGTCCTAGGAGAGTGCCAAAAAAATCCTGGGACCGCAAAAAGTGTCCCAGCACTCGAATGAAGGGTCCTATGAGAGTACCGAAGGGTCCTGGGACAGAAACGAAGTGTCCCAACACTTGAGCGAAGGGTCGTAGAAGGGTACATAAAAGTACTAGGACAGTAACAAAGTCTACCAAGACCCCATCGAAGTGCCCCAACACTAGAGCGAAGGGTCCTAGAAGAAAACCAAAAAGTCCTAGGACAGTACCAAATAATCCTAACACGAAATCACGAAGGGTCCCAAGACCTGAACAAAGGGATCCATCACTGATTTAGGCTAAATTCGACTG